CAACAATATGTTCGGCAACGCAAGATTTATCAGGTCTACCATATCTTATCTGAGCTAAATGTTCTTTAAATCTAGTTAATATTGATCTTCTAGTTTGCCCAACATATTTCTGATTACAATCTTTACAGGAGATTTCATAAATACCCGACCTTTCCAGTAGAGGTGTTTTATCCTTTGGATTACTTAATAATTGTTGTAATTTATTATTAGCACTATTCACAAGTTTATAATTGACATTCTTAAAAATTCCTTTTAGACCACGGGATAACTGTTTATCAAACGGTATTGAAAAATATTTTGACGTATCTTTCTCCACTTGAAAAGTCGAATTTTCAGAAATCATTAACCTATATCTACGTTTTCTAATTATTTTATCAACTAGTGAAGGATAATATCCATTACACTCAGCTACATTCCTAATGTAATCTCTTTCTATTTCATATCTTTCGTTGGAAAGTGGAAAACTAAGTAATCTATGAACTAAGAAATTTAAACTAGCCATTTTATGTTCAATACTATGATATGATTCATTAGGAATATATCTGCGTGCAGTGGTATTTTTCCTATAGATATCTAATTCCAGGCAATTATTAGTATTTCTAATAACTAATACATCTAGAAATGGTAATCTGTCGTTGTTCTCAATTTCATGTGTAAATTTAATGGAAGGAAAACGATTATTTAACTTAGAAATAAAATTATCTATGGTGTCTGAATGTCTCAAAAACAGCAAAAATATCATCCACATACCTAAACCATACTCTTGGAAAATACTCTAACTGATTCTTTGATTGGGCAAACTAGAAGATCAATATTAACTAGATTTAAAGAACATTTAGCTCAGATAAGATATGGTAGACCTGATAAAGAACATTGTATAGATCTTAATAACTTAAAATTACTTAAACAAGTCTCAAATTACAGGCAATTAGATGCATATGAAAGCATCAGAATTAATAAATGTAAAGATAGTATGAACAGAGACAACGGTCCAATTCCTTCAAGTTCTTTGTTCCTACTACTCTAGTGGCGGAAATCTAACTGTTACGCTCTGTGGGTTCTGACTCGGTTGGCTAGATCTTGCCACGCCCACTCTGTGCCCACTGAGCGAGTGTATAAACGCTCCAATTGTAGATTGCATTATAGTTTATAATCATCTGCTGATGATGCTAACATGGTTAGCGAAACGCGCGTCCAGTGTAAAAGTAAAAGTGTTTTGGTGTATTGTGGTGATTTAGTGTTTTATTTTGCTGTGTAACACCAAAGGTTCCAACCCTCAACTGTAACAAACTTCTACGCTAATTGAAACCACTAATTTTGAGGTTCTGAATGAAGCTTATGTCCATGAAGGATTGAGACACCCTGTATAAAAATTTCAACGTTTTTTGAAAAATGTGTTTCTAGGGATATACTGCCAGTTAAAATATTATTGTCGCTGATTATTTCAACAATTAATATCAATTTTTTGCTTTGATAACAACAACTTGTTACAATTTTTTTATTTATTTGTTATACAATCTATTACCTTGTACTATAGACTCCTACACTATATTATATTAAGTTATAAAGAATGGGAGATATTTAAGTCTTAAGTATCTAACACTTTGAATTACTTTTATGTAGACTGTGACAGCGGCGCAGTCAAGCTCGCCGGCCTTGTATTAAAGCAAAGGCGTTGTGCCGCCAAAGCCAATATTAAGATCCATAATTTTGTCAAAGCCCTTCAGCCACATTCTAAGATGGATAGATTTGAAAATGGTGGGTTATCACTAATATTAGCCCTTACCACACTTCCGCTATGATTTGTATTATGTAGTCGTTTGACATTGAAAAGTTCGTTCAGAAGCAAGAACGTTAATTTTGACAGATCTATTATGTTATGGTTTATCTTATATCGTGCTTACAGAAAAATATCAACCTTAGTTTTAATTTTAATTTAACATTAAATCCCACTTTTAACAGGACATAACTTTTTTGTGTTTGTTTTGTTGATACTTAAAACAATTAGGTACACCACTTCTAAAACTAAAAAATATGAAACGTCACTCACCGCCAAAATATCAATTTGAGACTTTAAGTAAAACGATTAAGGGAGGAGTATATCAAAAGAGCGCGGTGGGCACCAAAAACCGATTTAAATTCTGGTTTATCAGTGCCGTTCTAATTTTATTCAAAACGTGTAAAAGTATGATGTAGGTTAAACTCAATAATTTGTTGTTTTATTTTACGTGGTCAATAGATGTTGGTAGTTATTAAAATTGTTATAAAAATATACAATTCTAATAAAAATATATAAGTTGCTACTGAAGCAGGTAAGTCAAATTGACGTATCTAAGTTCTTGGACATATAATCTTTGACAAAAGCAAAAATGCAAGAAAAAATATATAATTAGTTCATTATATGATCGGTTTACTACACGAAAAGTTATTTCATTATTTTCCTCGATTTTGACCGAGAGATCGGCGAGAGACACACTATACAACCAACTCTTTTAGAGTCTTTTTCGATAAATCGCAATAGTGTCACTGTTAATTTAAGTTCTGCCACAATTTCCTTCTAGATTTAGTATCTCTAAACAACTGCTAGTTGTAGAATAAATAATAAATAACATAAAATAAACTCAGTAAAGACAGCCATATCCACAAAATTTCAATTCAAATTCAAATCTGTCAAATGAATCGTCAAACAGAAGTGTCAAGGGTCCCCACCCCCGTCTGCCATGCATGAATACATGGATAGCATTATACTCCTTCCTCAGTCTTTTTATTCAAAGATTTGGGACTAGAATATTCCACTTTTTTGCAAACTAACTGGTGAACCATCTTAGATATTTTAAAAACAGTTCTTTTACAAAGAAAAGCAGTAAAAATTACTTGAAAAACACAAAAGTCCACAAACACAGCACAGAATTTACAACACCGCACCGTTAAACATAACTTGAATGAATCCATCAAGTTTTTACTGTTAATTGTAAAAATCATAGAAACCAAACAGTCTTCCTGAAGCAGCGTTGTCGCAGTTACTTCCATAATAAATTTTAATTTAATTTAATTAGAAAATTAAATATAATTTCAAAGGAATAATCTATGTATTTTAACTAAAATGATATACGTACTATATTTAGTACGCCCTTTCTATAGGTACCCAAAAAAGCATTAATAATAATAATAACATACTTAATTTTCAAACAAAAGTCGTAGATATAACGTAATCCGCTAAAATTTGGTATCATCGATTTTGGTTGAAAACGATGTTTGATCGCGAAAAAATGTAAATAAGTACATTGCCAAATATCTTGGACCCCCGACCTATTTCAAAACTGCTGCATCTTATTTTAGTAAATAAAAAACCTATTGCAACTAAGAAACTACCAAACTTTTGTAAATTGAAATGCTCGGGCTTTGAGAAAAAAATAAAATAGAGAAATTTGCAAAGAAACGCAGTTTTTTATTTTTTAAAATTAACAAAAAAAATCAACAAAAATTTCCTTGGTACTTTTAATAGTCTATGTCTTCCTTTTTATTGATAGTTTTTTGTGGGATATTGTTCCATTCTTCTTGAGCCGCAATTCGTAGTTCCTCAAGAGTTATAGGGGGGTTATCTCGCTAGTGAATTCGTCTTTGAACATAATCCCAAACACGTTCGATGGGATTCATGTCGGGAGAGTTTGCCGGCCAGTCTAATCTTTCAATATTCCCTTCGTTTAAGACCTGTTGGACCCTTTGGGTACGATGCGGCCTGGCATTATCATCCATAAAGATAAAATGTTCGCCCATTTCATCACGGAGAGGGTAAATTATGGCTCTAGTAATGTTTTCCGCTTACATTTGGCCATTCAGATTCCCTTCAAGAGCAATGAGCTCTGTGCGACGGTTGAACAGTATACCCCCCAGAACATAATCGTTCCACCTTGATAGGGAACAACTTCTTGTGGAACGGCTAGTCTTTCCAGCCTTCCAGGACCTCTCCAAACCCTACTGCGCCGACTGTCACTCACTAAACAGAATCTGGATTCGTCCGAAAACAGCACGTTCCGCCACTGAGCTAAAAGCCATCCCCTGTGGTCTCGTGCCCAATCTAGACGTGCAGCAACATGTCTTAGAAGTAGTCTAGGTACACGTAAAGGTCTTCTTGATATTAAATTTGCGGCATGTAATCTCCTTTTTTCTGTCATTGAGGATATTACTCTGCGATATGTCCTCGTAAAATGGCCACGTAGAGCTGTTATGGAAACTGTTGGGTTTTGACGGACAAAATTTGCCAGGTATCGATCCCCTCTTTGATCTGTTACCCTAGGGCGACCAGTTCCATGCCTTCGTTCCAAGCTTCCAGTTTCCTGGTACAAATTTAGGATCCTGATCACTGTGCAAAAATTTTCTTGGTGTAAAGCGACAATTCTGGCTCTATTGAACAAAGAAATCGGATTACCCGGCATTTTAAATGTAAAACTGCACAAAAGATGCGAACTTTGCGATGCGATGGTCTATGTTTTACTGAACATATTTTATTCATACTGCATTTGTTTACTTAAATTTGATTTTTTGCGAGCCGTTTTTTATGCATTAAAATACCAAAATCATACACTTGGCAGGAAAAAAGTTTACTTAAATAAATTGATATTATTCTTAATACCAAGGGGGTCCAAGAATTTTGGCCATGTGTTTAGTTTTGTCTCCCTTTATTTAGATGTCGTGGGGTTGAACATACGCCGCCGTTGTTTAGGATAAACCATAGCGTAGAAATATTTAATATTGGCTGACATTTAAACTAGAAAAATCCTCGAATATAGAACTTTTCAATAAAATGTTATCTATGCATTAGTCTATTTGTTAACATTCGTCATATGCTTTTGGTTTGCTTTTGTAGACTCTGCAATTAATACATCTTATTGTTTAAAGTTGGTACGGTATTTATTGGTATTTATTGTTTTAGAAGATTCCGATGGCGGAGGTGGAAGTCGAGTCGTAAGGTCTTCACGACGGAAGAAACGCGTAAGACCTTCCTCTTCATAACGCGGCGTTGCAAGAGTTACTGAGTGACGTCATGAAGCACGAAGACGCATGGCCGTTCATCAGACCGGTTCAACAAAAAGAGGTTAGGAAATACATTTTATAAAATATCTTACAAAGTGTTGTCAGTTTTGAAGGAAAAAGACTGATATACACATATACGCAATAATAAATAAAATTAATATAATCTTAAAGCATATTATAAGAGCGTGCTGACATGCCATATTTTGCATATTTATGAATATATTGCTTTCAATTCTTCAACTAAATAATCAGCCGACTAAAAATTTCACGTTAGCGGGCGCTATATTTTCTTGAATTCGGAAGAAAAAATCTTAATTTTTAGAACTTTTTTTAGGTACCTGATTATTATGAAGTCATTTCAAACCCTATGGATTTCGGTACGATAAAATACAAATTAAACGTTGGAGATTACAGTACAGATAGTCAGGTGTTAAAAGATGTGGTTCTCGTATTTGAAAATTGTAGTACCTATAATTCCAGTGATGCTGATGTTTACAAGTAAGTACAATTGTATAACTTTACCAATCGGTTCTTATCAAAGTAGCAATTATGACATATTCAAAATTATTTTTTAATTTTTTCAACTAAAAACATTTTCTTTGGTTATTTTTTTTACGCTGCTATGACGTTGGAGCCGTAGTAAGGCAGGTTCGAATCCTAGTCAAGACGACTTTTTTTAATGTTTTTTTTTTAATTTTTACATATTTATTTTTACTTTTTACATATTTATTATTGATTAATACAATTTTTAGTAATGTGCTTCTTCATTTTTTTTAAATCACTTATACGCGTATTCAAAATTTCAGCTAAATCGGAAAAAAAGTTTATAATAATATAGTGTCTAATAGTGATGTAAACTTTAGTTACTTTTATGGACTCGTAACTACTAGTTACTGTTGGTAATAGGACTCGTTACTTTGGACTCGTTAGTTTAGCTACTCGTTACTTTGGTACTTAATATCATTACTTTATAATCATTGTTTTGGGTACAGGTTGGAAGACTTAGGCTTGACGTGGAACTTCGTTACTTATTGTGCGCGGCGATCTTCGTTGCATGCTCGGTTTAACCTATAAGGGGTTTCTACTTTCTTCTAGTGTAAGGGCTTAATAGGATAATTTCAATACTCGGTATTCAAGTACTGAATAATATGTTTTTAATAATATGTATAGTCTATAAAATGAATAACTTTGAATTTTGACCGTTATTTTTTACCAACATGGCAAATATAAAATCCCTCTGTCAAAAAAGTTACTGAAATTCTTTAAATTGAGTGCCTGAACGGATCAGATAGGTAACTCTTTTTACTTTCGTGGAATAGAAAAGGAAAATAATAAAACAAGTGACAGTTCTTCCTCTTCTTGCAAAAATCAACACGAAATGGCATAATTGTCAAAAATAAAATGTCATCAGCTTTTGACATTTCTAAATATCAGACCAATGCCGTCTCTAATAGAACAGCCTCGGAGCGAGATTTATGACGTCACGTTAGTTAGATACAACGGATTAATAAATATGTTGTAGAATACATGGAAAACATAATTATTCCTCGTATTTTTGGTTTGTATTTTAAAAATGATATAGTTTACATGAAATATACATAATATACAGTTAATAAATACAATATATATATACCTATTTATAGTAATAAATACTTTAATATTAAAAAAAATGTATATATTTTTGTTAAAATGTTAAAATATTAAAAAAATGTATATTCCTCCGTGGCGGATTCATCTCTTCAAAAAAGTCCTTTGGATTAACGCAGCAGTGTTTAATAAAAATTACTATTTTTATTTTGTAGATTTTCTTACAGTGTAAGTGGCGAAATATCTATTCTTTTTTGAAGAAGAAAAATATTTGCTCTGCTTTTTCAGATGTTAACATTTTTTGTGACTAACGTGAATCCATTTTTAATTAATATCTAAGTCATGTTAATCTAAATAAACAATTCTATTCTGTAAATAAAAAGCGACAACAAACGGCAAAGGGACAGACCGCCTCCGGGTTGGCATGAGCCAATCATAATAATTGTAATAAAAATATCACACATTTGCGATCCAAAAACCGGCCGGCGTCAAGTCAACACTTTAAACATAAACATATTGATAACAACTGAACCTACGTCGAAGTAAGAAATATTTCAGTATCGAGTTTCGAGTTCTCCGTTCGTGCATTTCCAGGGATTACGATTACTGCCGGCGCAAAAGTAACGAATTAGCTTAGTAACGAGTAACGAGTCCTAAATTCAAATATAGTCTATAAAATGAATAACTTTGAATTTTGACCGTTATTTTTTACCAACATGTCAAATATAAAATCCCTCTGTCAAAAAAGTTACTGATATTCTTTAAATTGAGTGCCTGAACGAATCAGATAGGTAACTCTTTTACTTTCATGAAATAGAAAAGGAAAAATAATAAAACAAGTGACAGTTCTTCCTCTTCTTGCAAAAATCAACACGAAATGTCATAATTGACAAAAGTAAAATGTCATCAGCTTTTGACACTTCTAAATATTAGATCAATGCCGTCTCTAATAGAACAGCCACGGAGCGAGATTTATGACGTCACGCTAGTTAGATACTACGGATTAATAAAATGTTGTAGAATACATGGAAAAAACATAATTATTCCTCGTATTTTTGGTTTTTTTAAAAATGAAATATAGTTTACATGAAATATACATAATATACAGTTAATAAATACAATATAATATACTTAGATTAAGAAGATAATATATACCTATTTATAGTAATAAATACTTTGGCAAATAAACTATGAACCATACAAATGCAGCAAATGTTTTACAATATACAAATAATGTGGTACATAAGATAATGCGTAACATGTAAAATATATTTTAAATTTTGGGGTTTGAAAATCGATCTAATTTAACAAAAAACATTCAATATCTACTAATAGTGATGTATTATTATTTGCATTCACAACATTTATTTATATATTATAATGTTTACTGCAATTAATAAACTAATATAAACTTGTCAAAAGATGACCACATATTTTTTTAAATTATTATTCTTAACACAAAAACTTTCTACACTGACTATGGAGTACGATTTCAGCCATATTTTAAAACATTTTGCTGCATTTGTATGGTTCATAGTTTATTTGCCAAAGTATTTATTACTATAAATAGGTATTGTATTTATTAACTCTATATTATGTATATTTCATGTAAACTATTTCATTTTTAAAAATACAAACCAATAATACGAGGAATAATTATGTTTTCCATGTATTCTACAACATATTTATTAATCCGTAGTATCTAACTAGCGTGACGTCATAAATCTCGCTCTGAGGCTGTTCTATTAGAGACGGCATTGCGTCAGCATGGCCGCAAGTTGCTAACCTAATAAAATTAACACTAGAAAAGCCCGCGGGAACTGTCAAATTCAAAGTTATTCGTTTTACGGACTATAGTAAGCGTTACTTCGAGTCCTCGTAAAGTAACTGTTACTTTGTAACGATTACTTAGAATTTTTACATCACTAGTGTCTAATGTTCTATAGATAATGAATGGTACGGAACCCTTCGTGCGCGAGTCCGACTCGCACTTGACCAATTTTTATTAAATAGTTAAAACGAGTTTTTCCTATTTTTTATTGAAAAAAAAAGAGTTTTCAAGATGTTTTGAACAGTTACAAATGTTTAAAACATGTAATTATGTTTGAAACACGTTCAAAACACTTGTTTTTAAGCAAAATATTTAAAATCCTGTTTTTTACTGAAACCTAACATACACTCACCAGCACGAAAAACGAGCACCTTAAAATTTTCATGTATTTTAAAGTTTTATTCGACGTCGCAGAAGCTTCTACTTTGCTGTAGTACTAGTCCAACGTCGGCACAACGTTATAAAAACGTTTAAATTTATTTTAATACCCATGGTAGGGAGCTAACTATTTTTTGTAACTAATCCAACGTTGTGTTTAGTAAACATGTGGTCGCAAGTCGTGAAAATGCTACTTGGGTGATAAAATTATTTTTAAATTTCTTGCTTTGTTAACGTACTCCACAGGGTGTTTCAAATTTTCACCAAAATATCACCATTTTGTTTTCCCTTGTTTAAGCGACCGATGAAAACTTTCATTTTTAATTTAGAAAGAGATACTAAAAAGTCAAATAATTTAGCTACATATTGCTTAAAAAATCATCAAAATCGGCCCACTAGAACAAAATATATTAAACTTTAAAATACATCAAAATTTTAAGGTGCCCGTTTTCCGTGCCGGTGAGTGTATTACAAAAATTACCAGTTTTACACATATATAAAAAACACTCTAAACGCAGAATCTAAAAATAAAATAAAACATAGGGTGCTAACACTTTTGAAGTACCAGATAGACTCACAAATCATTTTATATTGTGTATCTCAACAGTTTCTAAAACTGATTTAACCAACTCATATGCCCAACGGGAGGATTCACAACATTGGCATTTGTGTACTGTCATTTTAGTTCACAGATAAATTGTATTTTCTGTTATTTTTTGGATGTCGTCGGTCGAAATCTTTCCTGACTCTTTGAACCGACTGTAGTTAACATTTTTTCATAATTCTCAAAACAAATGAAATAATGAACTTCACTCTTTCTTTGACTCACCGACTATAAATATCTCTTTTTTCCATAAGGTGCGGTATGCGATTGCTAAAGTATCTCGCCAAACGAGCCAAACAAATTGGACTGAAGGTACCACCAGAATTGGAAGAGGAAGAAGATGAAGATCTGGAACCCAAACCAAAAAAGAAGCGAACAAAATAGTATTACAGTAGTTTCTTCCGCGGTTAACTTTATACGAAACGTTTATTTTTATAGAGCTCGTCGGCAGTCGTGAAAAAGACAAAAAATCAACGCACCTAGATTTAACTATTAAGTTTATTCTGTTTCACTTAGGATACGCATGTAAGACGTGTATTTTTGTAAAAATGCATCGTTTTAGTTGTAAATATATATGTTGTTTGTAAAATCTCCTCTTTAAGTATTTATCTGTTAAGGATATTAAGTTTGTTTTATAATTATTACAAATGGAAATATGAGTACTTCACTTAAGGTTAATAAACTTCATATTTATAACAAGCTGTTGTTTTAATTGGTTGCTCTTAATTTTAAGAACTCTCCCGAAAATAAAAAAAATATGATATCAAAGTATTACATAATATTATATTATATAATATGATATACAGGGTGTTTCAAAACAAATGCGAAAAACTTCAGGGGGTGATTCCTTGTTCAAAATAAAGGGTAGTTTGCTTTATAAACGTTGGGTCAAAAGTCAACCATTAGGGAGATATCGCGGTACAAAGATGGCGGAAAAATAATGTTTTTATTTTTTATCTTGAAAACGAAAAGAGATAGACTAATGAAATTTTATGGAAGCATTACTGTTATGAAAACACACTTTCAGGTAATTTTTTTACTTTTTTAAAATGAGTGGAAGGGGTTGAAATAAACTACCCCTATCATTCTTGTTAACGAAATTTAAAGAAAAATCTTATCAAACACATGCAAAAAAATTAATTTGGATAGTTTAGTTTGTTTAGAAACTTTTTTATCTCTTGTATTTTTTTTTATAAAACTCACCGATTTGAAATTAAAAAATAAAATGTAAAGCATTACATGTCAGGACAAAAAACATTTTCTGATAAAGAATCTAGTGGGCTGCTGTAATTTTTTTAGGAAAAAATCTAGTCGACCGCTGTTACTTTTTAGGATGTTTCTAATATTATTTTATTTGACATTACTCTACTGCAATACGTTATTATCTAGATGATTATTATTATCGTTATTATCACTAGATTCTTAATCTAAAAATGTTTTTTGTTCTGACATGTAATGCTTTACATTATATTTTTTAATTTCCAATCGGTGAGTTTTATCAAAAAAACACAAGAGGTAAAAAAGTTTCTAAACAAACTAAACTATCCAAATTAAAGCATTTGCATGTGTTTGATAAGATTTTTCTTTAAATTTCGTTAACAAGAATGATAGGGATAGTTTATTTCAACCCCTTCCACTCATTTTAAAAAAATAAAAAAATTACCTGAAAGTGTGTTTTCATAACAGTAATGCTTCCATAAAATTTCATTAGTCTATCTCTTTTCGTTTTCAAGATAAAAAATAAAAACATTATTTTTCCGCCATTTTTGTACCGCGATATCTCCCTAATGGTTGATTTTTGACCCAACGTTTATGAAGCAAATTACCCTTTATTTTGAACAAAGAATCACCCCCTGAAGTTTTTCGCATTTGTTTTGAAACACCCTGTATATAAATATGATATCAAGTATATTACCACAGATTAGGTATACTATACAGGGTTGTTCACCACATACGACACGGAATATTGTAGCTAAATGATTAGATTTTTACAAATTGTAAGTTTTGGGTTCGTTGAAGGTGTATTAGAGCTACAATTTAAAAATATTTTTACAAGATACAGAGTGTCCCAAATAAGTAAAAAATATAGTTGTATTTTTTTAAATGGAACACCTTGTATATTATTCTATTTTTAGATTCTACGGTTGAAATAAAGGTAAATTTGATTAAGGTTTATCTTATCACTTAAACCTTACCGTTTTTGAAATATTTTCAATTTTATGAAATTGCAGTAAAAAAATTAAGGCTTTATTTCTCCAAGGGTATCAAAGTTTTTAATACTAAATATTTACTGAAGATTATTTATTGATCAGATATTGTGTTGCAATAATAAAAAATTTTACTACCTTATACAGAGTGTCCAAAAATTTATATTAAATAATTACTAGCTTTAAACGGCAATAACTTGTTTAATTTAAATGGAACACCCTATATATTTTACGTGATTGGTATATAAATCCTCAACCTAAAAAATAAATATGGAGTGATATATATTTTTGAGAAGCTCATAGCAAAGCGGATTATTTGATTTATAAATATACAGGGTGTTCCATTTGAAAAAACATAACTTTAGTTCATATTTTCAAAAATATTTTTTTCGTAGAAAAACAGACTACGCCACTGTATTCTACGTAAAAAGTTCTACAACAATCAGTTTTCACCTTCTGGATATCATTCATAATAACGGAGATACGGGGGCTGTTCCAAATTGCAAAATTTTCAAAAAGACCCTGTAGCTCAGAAACGACGAGGGCTATGAAAATTTTGTTGACAGCATCTTCCGTTTGACAAAAAAGGGGCAGAGATTTGTGCAAACCGCACCCTTCTATCTTCACGAATAACGGAGATACCGTATGATTTCAACTAAAATGGGACACTCTGTTTGTACAGGGTGGTCGAAATTGGTCTGTTTTAACAGGGAAAACCTATTTCCTGACTAGATAGAGCAAAACCGACATAGATGTCATGGGCTCGATTTCTGAGAAACGTTTAATGGCGTAACCCACCTGTTGATATTTTCACTGCCAACTGAGATACGGGGTCTTATTGAATTTTTTACCATTTTGAAAATTGCCCATAACTTTTTTTTTGCAGAATAATAAAATTCTGTAAAAACGTTATTAATGCACTTTTTTAGGCATAATCCAGTGGCGTAGTCAGTTTTTTTCTATGCTTGCTCATTTTGTCAGAAATAATAAAAAATGTAATTTTTTAAATGGAAATCATAGTTGGCTATGAACTTAAAAAATTGCTGGCGTTTTACCCTTTCCAATGATCTAAAGTTATCGACATCTATTTCTAAGAATTAGAGAAATATTAGGTTTTTGATCTTTATATCGAAGCGGGCCTTGATTATGTGTTGACCTATTTGCCTAATTATTTTTTATCACAATTTAATATTCTATATTATTATTTATCTGCATAATTAAAAACTTTTGAAAAGGTAAATTAACATTCTATATTAGTATTAGTAATTACAATTGAAATCAACACAATAAACAAAGAATAAAACTAAAAAAAGTATTTTTTGAGTGACGAATATAGTTTTCTAAAAAAAAATAATCAAAGATGTTAAGGGGGTGCATCTTTTGCACACAGAGTTACAACAATTTATTAGGCGAACTGGTGTAATAAGTCCAAAAGCTTGCCTAGTAGTCTTCTGTAATTCCATCTCTTGTCCCAATGGTTCTTCCCTTATATATAAGGCCTTTTAATTTCCCCCATAAAAAAAGTCAAAAGGAGTTACATCACAGGACCTAGCAGGCCAAGATATGGGATCCCTTGTTCCAATTCAATTCTCTCTAAATTATCCATTTAATAGTGCAGTTGTAACCCTGGCTTTTTAATTGTAAATGGTAATACTAATATAGAATGTTGATTTACCTTTTCAAGTCTTTAATTATGCAGATAAATAATGATATAGAATATTAAATTGTAATAAAAAATAATTAGGCAACTATAGGTCTACACAAAATCAAGGCCCGCTTCGATACAAAGATAAAACACGTAATATTTCTCTCATTTTTAGAAAAAAATACACAAAACTTTATATCGTTGGAAAGGGTTAAACGCCAGCAATTTTTTAAGTTCATAGTCAACTACGATTTCCATTTAAAAAATTATATTTTTTATTATTTCTGACTAAAAAAGCAAGTTTAGAAAAAAATGACTACGCCACTGGATTGTGCTTAAAAAAGTGCCTTAAGAACGTTTTTACGTATCTCGGTTGGCAGTGAAAATATGAACAGGCGGTTTAGGCCATTAAATGTTTCTCAGAAATCGAGCCCATGACATCTATGTCGGTTTTGCTCTATCTAGTCAGGAAATAGGTTTTCTCTGTTAAAACAGACCAATTTCGACCACCCTGTACAAGCGATGCAACGCTTTGCGCAGCCTGCGCTTTCGACTTGCTTATGGTTGTAAACATATCAAAGAAAGAAAGAAAGTATCGTACAATACTTACCGCAAAAATGTCCTCTTCTATGACTAATAATGAAGATTACAAGTTCAGGGTACAGCTGTTAAAATCCTCCATAAGGAAAACAATGATGAAACAAAACAATCCTAACATAATATTTTATTTATAAAAATAAGAATATTAGAATAAGGTTAATGTCACAGTCGCATAACTTAACACGACACAATAAAGCTCATATTTTAAATAACAATAGCAATACAAATAAAAAATAACATAAATTTAACCAGGAAGTAATATTCCGGTTACGGAAGAAGTCGGTACGCCTCCAATATGATTCTTTAGGTACGCCATCTAGTGCTTATCCAGTCAAATACACAATAAGTGACGTCATAATTTTTAGGCGTCTATTTAAACGAGCGAAAAATAATATGGAATAAGATTTACTGATTATTCCATGATAATACCGTTGATACAATTTTTTTTTCATTTTGAAGATATTTTTTGTTACTTCAACTTTAAAATAAGAATCAAAATAAATATAATAATATGAAAAATATACCCATATAGGAATGAAAACAATATAACCAACGATATAACTATGTAAAATTCAAACAATACGAATATATAACATAAGAATGACTCCAATTTGAATATAAACAAAAATGATTTAAAGCAAGCAGAGTATGAATTAGCTGAGAAAAGGTCACCACCATTATTTATTTGACTCTTACACTGGCGCATCCATTATTGACTCAAGAGCACCTTTATCTATGCTCAAGCGACAAGGTCGATTCGCACTTTACTTGCCTTGATAAAAAAATACATTTTACGAACTAGAATAAAGAAGTAGACAACAAATATTGTTAAGAAATATATAATACACTTAAATTACATAATTATTTCACCTATTGGTGGAGATATTATTTTTTCCCTCCTTTATTGAATTCTTCGACGATCTGGTCGATAGAAAAATGGATCAATTTGTCTTGCATCTCGGGCGTTATCGCTTTTGATACTTCTCTCGTAACATATTCAACCAAATTCCTCTGCTGTATTCTCTTATAAATGTTCACCAATTCGACTTGATAGTTCAAACGTTTCTTTACTTCCTGGTATACCTGCATTTGTCTAAAAATAAAACATAACGATTAGCCTATTGAAAAATTATTTTATTCTGCCTATGAGAGGATATGCATGACAGAAAGAGTACTATCACAGGTTGTCTCTAATACACTTTCAGAATGTTGAATAAATTATCTATGAATTAAAAGATTAAGGAAGGATCGTATCAACAAACTTAGGCGGAGCGCGATAGGGGATTAATATGACTGACTTAAATTTCGATTCATCAGAGCTGTTCTAATTTCATTTAAACGTGTAAAAATATAATGTAGAGTAGACTCAACAATTTGTTGCTTTTGTTTTACGTTCTCAATAAATGTTATTAGTTATTAAAATTGTTAACAAAAAATATACTAAGGGCTGGGAAAGGTTAGTCTTGGGTCGGGATTTCCGTATGTAAGAAGACTACAATGCGTTTATAATGTACTGAACAAAGAGAGGACAGTAAACACGTTGCCAAATGTATGAAATAAACCGAGAAACTGTGCACATCGCTAAGAGACGTGGAAGGGGATATAGCAGATTTGTCGCAGTTGACCGGTCGACCCAATCAATACCTCTGTCAGTACTTCAAGTTCCACACATGTAAATTAGTAGTGGGAACTATCGAATGAATACTATCGAAACATTCGATAGTTGCAATTCATTCGAATAATTCGATAGTTAGTAAGAAAACATTCGTTGAAAACTATTCGAATAAAAATTATCGAATAGATCCGTCATATGCCTTGAAATACTGTATTCTAGTAATTCGGCAGCAAAAACCATTCATTTATAAAATTCATTCATTTATGAAATTCATTTATTCGTCAGGATCGATTATAATAAAATATTAACTGAATTTTAGTTGTCGCCCGGCGAAGTAGGTTTCTTTCCGAGAAACCCGACAGCGGTCGGTGGCAATGCTATGAAAGAAGCCGGCATCTTTGATTTTTTGCGGAGTCAGATATAGATAAGGACACATTATTTTTTTTACTGAGGTGCTAGTATTTACACAGAAAATACATTATGAAGGGCGCTGTTGCCATATTTTGGTATTAGTTGATATTAGCAAAGAATATTATTGTTTGGCTTTAGTTAGTTAGGGATAGTATGTCTATATATTCTGCATTTTTTTATTAATATTCTGTTGTTACACTGCAATAATACTTGTTATTTTGGATGTAAGAAAATTATTTTTAATGTTTTTAAGCAAAGACTGGTTTAATAAATAATAATAACAGTAATAATTTGTTATACCTATTAACAACAAAATTTAAAATGATTTAATATAAATTTTTTTTAAGTAGTAGCAAAATATAAACAACAAATTAGATGTCAAAATTATTTATATTTTTTTGTTTTCACTCTTGGCTTTAGGTCGTTGGGGTTGCAAAGATGTTTCTAGATTTTGTTCATTATTTTTTTATTTTGTGACGACGTTTCGACAGTATATGTTTTTTTCAAGCCTCTTGAACGTAGATTCTTACAGAGTTAAAATTTGTTAAACTGAACAACACAATAACACATATTAACTATTGTTTTAATTGTTTTTGGACATTACACTTTACTACGAGCACGTACGTATTTCCTTGCAGATCGCTCTGTATAAAACACATTTATCGGTTCAATACCCGATGTCTACTGGAATCTTTGCAACCCCAACGACCTAAAGCCAAGAGTGAAAACAAAAAAATATATAGTATACAGGTCAAAGAAACGAAACAAAAAAAAAATATTTATATTAGATCCCATTTAAAAATAATATAGTCTCTAAATTTTTTGGCAACGTTGGTTTATTAAATAATAATAATTACAGAACTAATTTGTTATATTAACAACAAATTTTAAAATCATGAAATATAAACATTTATTAATTTTCTAAGCATGCAGTGTAATGGAACAAAAATATAAATAAAAAATTAGAAATCAAAATTATTTATATTAGGTGCTTTATATTACTATTTAAAAATTATATTTACTTTTACTGGCATTTACTTTACTGGCAAAAATAAATGAAATATTTCTTCGCAAAAAACTACATGTAAGAGAATTAGCATAAACAAAATACAAACATCGTTAATTTTTTTTTTAAATTGGGACGTGTAAAACTTTCATTTTAATTTTCTCACCCCATAGTTTGAGTTCGATAACCATTTACTTAACTACATTACTTAAATATGATTATTAAGTTCAACTAATTAATATTATTAAAACATCTAAAATACAAATATGTATTTTTAAAATTAATTGTAAGTTCATCTCATCTCTCTTAAAAATTGCTACCTCTCAAAATTTCCCATTAAAAAATAGCCATATACCATATAAAATTAAATAATTGAAAGATCGGACTACGGAAAACCACACAAATTTTCGGAAAAATTTTGACCACCTGCACATGCACACAATCGTCAATAAATAAAATTAAAAAATAACTACTATTTTAGTATTTTAACTATTTTAATAAACGCAAAAATAGCACAGTATTTATACGGCAAAGTTATAAAAATTTGGAAGAACTAATAATGCACTGACGCATACAAAAATCAAATGAATACTAAATTTATCTATGTTATGTTGACGTATCCTAATTATTTTTTATAAGAAGTAAATAAGAGCGAAAATAAATTTCATAATCAAGTGGTTTATTTTGGGTTTACTACACGTCACGTATACAGAGAAGACCAGGCTACTAGTTACATAGCAAGTTGCCGGACGAATTTACGTTTACCCATTTTGCGTTCGTACTCGAGATTCACTGCCGGCTAGTCGGCTGGTCAGGCAGTACGTAGTTGCAGTTGTGCCTGGACGAGTCGGTCGTGACAGACTAGGAATACGACGCGAGGAGTGCCGAGTATTTATTATTTTCATTTTAAGTGTTTGCCTTTACTTAAGGTAACATTTAAAATGAAAATACTTAAATATTTATTATTTGAGTGTGTTTACAAGGCAAAACTAAAAATAAATAAATTCTCTAAACCCAAAAAAAAGTAAAATATTATTCTAAATAAAAAAAAGTTATAACAAGTGTTCAAAAAGACCATCTTCTTGTGCTAGACAGAAGCCTAGGCGGTCGTAAAATCCCCGTCTGACATTGGCTAACATATTAGGGCTAATAGTTTGGAAAGCCTCTCGTATTTTTACTTGAAGCTCATCCAGATTAGTAGCCCTATTATGACCATACACTTTGGATTTTACATAACTAATACTAACTATACTAATACTATTTTACATAACTAATTCATTTTCTTTACTTCCAATGATAGGCTGCCTAATAGGTTTTTTTTATAAACCACAATACCAGCTCTACGAAATAGTGCAAGTAGTTTTTCAAAGGAACGCTTATCAGGAAGATTCCTATTTGGATATTTTTGAGCATAAGCCCTTGAGGCCAAGAAGCAATTTTCTTCACAAAATAAAATCACTAGTAACATATCCATTCGTTCCGGCAGCAGATACTGCTTTATTTTTCATTATCAAATAATGAATACTTACTTATTAAACTATTGTAGGCAAATCTTAGTAAACTGTTATAAATAATAATGTCCATAAATTAATGTTGACTTTAAAAATAGTTACTAACTGTCACTAGAAAATTGCCATGGCGACACCAGCCATCTATAAGCCATCTACATATTTTTAAAAAATACAGGGTGTTACATTTAAAATAACGAAGTTTTTATATAAAACAAATCCTTACAATAGATCAGCAATTTTTGATACCCCTGTATAAATTTAAGGAAGCAATACCATTTGTCAGTAAAGTTTATTTCTCTACCTTTAAACTCAGCACAAGAATTAATTCTGAAAAGTAATGTACAGGGTGTTAATAATCTATTCTATTGTAGCTTGCAATTTTATTTGTATAGACGATTTGTATAGAAAAATGCAAGACTGCAAGAGTCTTGCATGCTAGACGAAAGGCAAGACCAAGACCACATTCGTTAATGAAATACTAGACTCTACCTACCTCTTACGATATTCCTCTTCAAGCTGCAGCTGCACATTTTCTCGTTTAGCATCTATTAAAAACGCCTGTCCCGCAGATTGATATTGCATAAACAGTTCGTTTACAATAGAATCTTCTAAATACTTCTTCTCTTCAACTCTTCCTAAAATAGTATTATCATTGAAATACTAGGTGACATCTAGAGAAAAAAGATTATCCCATCAAAAACATAGAATGTAAAAAAATGCCAAGTCTCGCAACACAATTCCTCCGCTATAAAAAGTTGTGAGATCTCATGTAAAACCAAGTCAGTTTATTTTATTTAGTATCTCTATAATATTAGTCATCTTTATTTCTATAATAATGATAATGACTTGGCACGGCACCATAATTATAAAAAAGAATAATCTACGATTTCGATTACTAAGTAAACCTAATAAACGGTGCACTTAAGAATAAAGTTTTTTAATTACTATTGTAGAATATCATATCGTGCAAATGCCAAGTCATTATAATTCTTATAGAAATAAAGATGACTAATATTGATACTAACAATTTATACCAAAATTGTTGAATAGGCCCAAGTAGCAAATTTTATTTTATAAAGGCTGTATAAACAGCTATGTGATAATTTTTATAAGATACCCCAATTCATATAACGTGCTATATGACCGTAATATGATAGCTTTACAACCAAAAAAGGCCCATTTTTATACAACCGTTTAGTAGCATAGAAGTTCTATAAAAAGGGTATACAACTCTTATGCAACTATTTTACACAGCGTTATATGACTATTATAAAACTAGTTTTATTATGTATTACGTGGTCACATCTAGGAAACAGAACAATAAAAACATTTGATCATTTAGCGAGGTACAAGAGTATTTTATTTTTTACCGAAGAATATTACCCAAGCAGCATTTGGACGTCGGGACAACGTTGTGTCACGCGACCAAACGTCGGGGCGCAACGTCGGCACAACCTCGTACCAACCCTAGTCTGGACTAGTTTGGAGAATAATTTTTGGGTCGAAACGACGTTGGATACCGACGTTGGCTAGAAGCCTAATTTAGTACAAACTGCAACGTTGTTTAAAATCCTAATTCACAGAAATACAAAACTAATATGGCGTCTAAGTCGCGTTTTATCCTAAATTGGGATAATTATAGTAAAAATATTATATTTATAATTTAGTTAGAGACATATGTCAGATGGCAGTGAAGGAAAACAAAACAAAAGTATTTAAGTGTGGAGGATGTTTGAAGATCATAATTATTGAAACACTTTAACCGACTCTGTAACTCGTTACCCAAGGTAAAAAGTTAAACGCAAACAACTTTATTGATAAATGTATTGTTTCTACTTTAAAAAATACTAATGGGCCTTGAAATTAAAGAAGTTTTAAAAATTTTCTTGAATTTTTTTTTTAGTAAAATGAGAATAATTTATTCGCATTCGAAAAAATTGTTTCCGCGTATTTTTTAGGGTCAAATATTTCAAGTTAATGTATTCAAAAAGCAGGAATTGCTATTTTAAGAACGAAACATTTTCTTATTTAACAACATGGCGGCTTTAACTTTGTTGTTTTGGAGATTAAGATGGAGTAGTTCGAGTAGTCGCATACTGGACTAATAAAGTCGCAGTTCGGCCTTAACAGGTAGTATACTAGTCGCAAGATTGCCTAATTTAGTCATTCTAGAGTCTAGCTTGTGCCGCCCTCTATAATCTAAATAAACGAGGAAGTGTCGGTAATATATGTCGATGTATATTTAAATTTAGTTTTATATGTACCTTTCTTATGTCCCATTTTAATTAAGTTTTTTTTTTATAAAAACAAAAACAGCACTGAACTGTCTGACTGAACAGAACAATGAATTGAAAATTTAAGATTTAAGGTTATGGTTCAATACAGTTGCAAAAAGGTAGTGACTCTACGTCCTACCAACGTAAGAATAAGGAAATCTAAACAACGTTGGAATTAGTAAAACAGACGACGTTTGCATAACGTTGGAATAGGTCCTGAAACTGACGTCGGAAAACTCTATATTATCCAACGTTGTAACTACGTTGTCCAAATCACCTAAAGATCACTTAAGCAAAAAAGGTTACAAGACAACGTTTATTCGACGTCGCAGAAGCTTCTACTTTGCTGTAGTACTAGTCCAACGTCGGCACAACGTTATAAAAACGTTTAAATTTATTTTAATACCCAAGGTAGGGAGCTAACTATTTTTTGTAACTAATCCAACGGTGTGTTTAGTAAATATGTGGTCGCAAGTCGTGAAAATGCTACTTGGGTAGGAGCAATTTATATTTTAAGCGTGTCGTAAAATGAATCTAGAGGATGTGGATTGTTAAAAAGGAGACTTTACTCGACAATGAAAATGGCGGGTAGAGCCAGAAGGTACAACAAATATGTAATATAAAGAATCATTAATAGGGTTTGAAAAGTAGGGACATTTTGCGCCGAAAATTTTACTGGTAGATTATAGGTATGTATTTGGGAAAAAATTAAAGCGCTTTAATTTCGATTAAGGTTTACATATAAATTTAAACAATAAAATAAAATAAAATTTTTAAAAATTCTTGTTTTTAATTTAATTAAACACTTTATTACTGTATGTGGAAATCTTATCACAAAATAGTTCTCAAAAATAACATTTTACAATTTATTTTGATGTTTTTAATGTTGCTTCATATAATGGCGGTCATAGGCCATACAAAAATTCTGCCTTAAACATGGCGAATTATAATGCAACCATTTTATTATAAATGAATCCCTCCTGAATGTTGTATACAGCACCGTAGTTTAACGCAATAAAACATACAACGTAATACAACTTTAATAAGACAAGTTTAAGTAACTATTATATGATCTTGTGACTACTAGTTATATGAATATTATAGAACTCTTAAATGGTGGGTATAAGAGTCTAATAAAATAATATGTTTGTTATCATATAGCATTGTCTCATTAAGTGTTATATCATACTAAAAGAAATTATCGTTTAATGCGTTATAGGATACCTACGTTGTAAAAACCACTAGAAAATAGTTTAATATGACAACTTTTATTAAAAAACAGAATGGTCGAGACCAAACGCTTAATAAAATCTCTTATAAAATAATTCAATCCTTTTAGAATTTCTTTTTGCTGCTTGGGGGTGCTTAAAGAGAGAAGAGAGACTAAATCAAATAAACTGACTTGGTTTTACATGAGATCTCACAACTTTTTATAGCGGAGGAATTGTGTTGCGAGACTTGGCATTTTGTTACATTCTATGTTTTTAATGAGATCTTATTTCTTTTTGTAGGTTATCCTTCTATTTTTTTCGGGTCATTCAAAATAATATTAAAGAAGTTTGACTATAATTCATAAACTTTGAATTATCGTATAATTAATTAAATCAGATAATATCAATTGAATTAATTCTAGTTTCCTAACGACTTGTGTTTCCGATTTTCGTTTTAACTCAAATATCGACTTTAAAAATGTTCAATTCATAATTTTACCAATGTTTATTCAAAATTATTTCTGTCAATTTTACATATATTTTATTTTTATCTCGAAAAGTATAAGAGATAAATCCTTGAATTATTGTTTAAGATATGTATTTAATATTTCACAATCAGAATATTAACGAAAATAAAATAAAAAAAAATTGTAACCCGATGCAGGACCGAAGTATCCCGATCTCGGGAGGCCCGAGTTCGGGATACTTCGGTCGAAATATGTTCAAGCCTAGCATTTAACATATTAAACTAAAAAAAAATAGGGACCAGTGTGTGAGATGATCAAAATTTTAAAATTCAAAATTGTTCATGATCAACAAAAAAGTCGTTTACCGCATATAGGGCTCTCTCCAGCAAGTATAATTTCAGAGCTTTGCAAAATGCGGGAAAAAATGAAAGCGACTTGATATTCAATGGCAAATGATTGTACATTTTCTTGCCATTGTACAGTATTGAACCTTTAACTAGTTCCACAGACTAGTTCTGAGCTCGGGGTTGGCAGATAAAGATCGTGCTCCGCATTCCTAAGTGGATAGTTGTGAGATGGCCTTTCTAGTCTAAGAGCTAGCAACGTTTTCGAGAAAGTATTTTAAGACGTCTGGCTCTTTGATATATCTTTTATTATGCTCTCTGGAACAGCGTACAGGCCGTCTGGCTGCCCATACACGTTGCGTTCACTACTGCGCCTCCAAAGAATATCCTATATTTTTTACTTACCGCTTTAAATTCTAGTATTGAATAAGAACCGAGTAGGTCTCCATTAGCTCGGCGCGTAGAGCTTTCGCCTATGAAGCGAAGGTCAGTGGTTCGATACCGGCTGGGGGTGTAACTTTTTTTATTTTTTTTTTTCGTTTATGTTCTGATAGTAAAGTATTAAATATTTGTTTTTTTTTATCACCAGAACGAATGGCGTTTATAGGTTTATGATCCGTAGTGTATATAGAATTTGATACTTTCATTTGTTTTGAAGGATTATTGTGGTAATTAATTATTAAATAGGTTTAGGATGGTCTGGCTGCCGCGCCGGTAGGTTGCGTTCACTACTGCGCATCCCATGGGTACAGGGTGTCTCATTTTCGTGCGATTTTTGGGATTTCTCGTTTATGAGTGGAGATACAATGGTGCGTTTTTTTTTCACATTACTTTGCTAGTTTTTTATGTAATTAAATATTCTACCCATAGATTTGCGCATTTTCTACACATTAACATTAATCATCTTGTTTAAAAAGTATTATTATTTTATTTTATTTAATTTAACCAGATATAATTTTGTTTTCCATCGTTATCTTACAAACCGAACTGAATATAAACTTGTGTAGCTTTTAGATAACAATCTGTTAAAAAAAGTATTATTAAAATAATAAACAACAGCTGAAAAAAATATAAGACAGGCAGAAATTACGTTAATAAAGCATTAAAATGTTAATTTTTATATATTATGTTTAAATCTTTAAAATGAAATTATAAAAGAATTAAATATTTTTATGAATGAGGCAAGAAAAAATTACGGCCAACTTTTTTAGTTTTATTTTTAGACATTATGTTTAGATCATTACAATCTAATTTGTATTATAATTGAATTAAATATTTTTAAAAAAAAAAAAAAAAAGAAAAGAAAGCTCTACGCGCCGAGCTAATGAAGACTTGCTCGGTTTTTATTCAATACTAGAATTTAAACCGCTAAGTAAAAAAATAGAGGATCTTCTTTAGATGCGCAGTCATGGTACAAAGAATACAAGGTATGATATTGCGCAGGTTGGTCGCTACTTCACAGGTGATAACAGGCGCTATTGGTCAGCACGCTCCGCGCGCCAGTTCAAACCGTCAAGGTATTGTTATAAACCTGTTTTTTTGTTTATATACCGTCATTGAATTATCGCTAAGCAAGTTACTGTGGAGCAGTGCGTAAGGAGTTGGGCTAGGAAGCGAGAGACCGGAGTTCGAATCTCGGCGAGACATAACTTTTTTTTTTAATACTGTTGTATTCTATAGTTTATTTTTGTAGTATAAAAGAACTATTTATTCTGTTATTTTTTAATCTGCGGTATTAATATAAATTGATTGTTGGTACAATACCTCATTTAATATAAAATAATATTCTACTTTTTGAAATGTATCCATCCCTAATTGTACCTAAAAGTAATATATTTTTACAGTGATATACCATATTGTAAACTATTTAATATTTCAGTCACTTAAAAAGTTAATTTGCATTGAATAATTGCCTACGATCAAAGGAAATTTGAGCTATATAATCCTTGATGGGCGTATTCTGGGTATGCAAATACTTCCTCAATACTACAAATTTTGGGTTTCGTTCAACCGATTTATTCTCAAAACCTGAAACATCTACATATAAAAAGAAGCACCAGGTCACTAATTATAATAAACTTCACCCTTGGAATTACTTCTATCACAATTACAATACATTCATCTGCATTGGCATTTTCTACTTTTCGATGGGAAACAATATAATTCCCAACATTTTTTAAATGATGTAATAATTCCTCTTGTGGTTATTTTTCCATAGATATCCTCATCTCTGTCCTTATGTGAATTCAGAGGCAATGAACATAAAAATTATTTACCATAAACATCGCAAACTAAAAACCTAATAAACAATTTTATACCGAATATAGAAATAAATTTAGTATTTCCAGTTTTTTCATGTTAATAGATAATTATTATTTTTAAATATATTTTTGAAACTGCTGGTTTTAGTAATTATTAAATTAAACGAACTAAAAAGTCTTAAAAATAAACAATTCTTAACCATACCATAACCCCAAAAAATGCAGATCTCCTGTCAACTTTCTTTGTTTTTTATTTATTTCATTATTTTCCTAGCGACGTCACAGGTGGTATGCGCCAACTGAACGAAATTGGAGCCGCTATCGATCATACCTTGTATTCTTTGTACCATGATGCGCAGTAGTGAACGCAACGTGTATCAGCAGCCAGACGGCGTGCATGCTGTTCCAGAGAGCATAATAAAAGATATATCAAAGAGCCACACGTCTTAAAATACTTGTTTTCCCGACGTTGCTAGCTCTCGTACTATTCGGGAATAGCAGATATGTGCAAACGGATTCAAAAATGAATAAGGAAGGAAGAGTCAGTATTTTGAAATTTTTAAAGAAATTCTGGCAGTGAGTTCTACTGTTCAGGCCCAATAAATATCGAACTGCTCTCTTTTGTAGTTTGAAAATACGATCAAATTTTGTTGCGCAGCAAGTACCCCAGAATGGAAGGGCATAACAAAGATGTAGCTCAAAAAGGGCATAATAGGCTATTGTAGAGGTTGATAAGTTAAGTTCCTTAGAAACTGATCTTAGCGCAAAACGGGCAGCGCTTAGTTTCTTTGATAAAGCTTCGATGTGCAAGTCCCATTTTAACGAGTTGTCTACAACAAGTCCTAAGAACTTCACAGAGTCCACGACGTCAATAGTGGTGTTATTAAGTACAAAAGGTTGTATAGTACTTTTATATGACAAAACTTTAGTTTTTGATAGGTTGACGCATAGGAGATTAGAATCGCACCAAGATTTAATGGTATGAACGTAAGTCACTGGATATAGTATTATATAGTGCCGTAACATCTTGGCCGCTCCAAGTGAAACTAGTATCGTCCGCAAAGAGGCAGATTTTACCGCTAATGTCTAGATTTGCAATGTCGTTGATAAACACCAGAAACAAAATAGGGCCAAGTACTGAACCCTGAGGTAGACCACATTCTATGGGCTTATAAGAAGACATAGACGTAACAATCCTCACAAGCTGCCTTCTGTTGCCAAGATATGACTTAAGCCATTCGAGCGGCACTCCCCTGAATCCATAGTATTGCAATTTGTTAATTTAGATATTATGATTTACACAGTCGAAAGCCTTAGAGAAATCATAGAAAATTGTAGCTGTAGAGTGATGGTTATTCAGGCTAGAGTATACATTATTAAAAAGGTCGAACATAGCGTCATTTGTGCAACTGTTACTTAGAAATCCAAATTGATGGGTAGTAAGTATTTTATATTTAAGGAGAAAAGATAGAAACCTTTTTTAACCAATCTTTCAATGATCTTAGATAATGTGGACAGGAGTGCAATTGGGCGATAGTTTGAAGCTTCTTCTTTATCTCCTCCTTTATGCAGAGGAATAATTACTGCTGTCTTATGTACTACAGTTCATCTGCTGGATCTGTGTCTACGAAAGGAATGCGGACAAAAAACATTTAAATATACAGCAATATATTTTATACGTCGACTTGACGAGTACGTCACCGCAAATCGCTCCGCCCACTCATTTTGTTGGCTACTTGCAAATTTGTCGAATTTTTATTGATGGGACGCGTCGTCTAATTTTTTACGAAAAACATCGAGAGAATATCGTTTCCCCTCTCACGGATACCCCGAAGCTACAGAACGGACAGACGTACTGTACTTGCTGGTCATTACAACGTACGTCTTGGCTCGAAATTTAAAAATATTCGACTTCTGGTTTACGAGATCCCCGTAATGTGCATTTTTATATGGAACACCGTGTGTATTTTTTAAATTTAACAAATACCTTCATTACAAGATTTCTCATAGTCGTCTATTCCTTTATCCAACCATTTCGCCGTATGTGGTCCCACATACTTAATAAATCCTATCCACATGCATAATGCGCCTAAGCCGTGGTAATAATAGTGCTCCAGAACATAGATTTCTTTGCTTATAAGGTAGGTTCCAAAAGTGAACAGAAAAGTGCCAAAGCCAGTAACGCCGGTTTTGGAAAAGAAGGTGTGCCACCATTCTACCGGTATAATTTTGAAAATAACCTGTATAAAACAAACTGCTATTAATTATGTTAATTAATAAACATAGGCCAGTAAGCGAGGATCAAAATAGGGTATTACCTCCGAATTCCTGACATCCGCACCGATTGTCGTGAAATTTTAACAGTGAATAGAGATATATACAGGGTGTTTCAAAACAAATGCGAAAAACTTCAGGGGCTGATTCCTTGTTCAAAATAAAGGGTAGTTTGCTTCATAAACGTTGGGTCGAAAGTCAACCATTAGGGAGATATCGCAGTACAAAGATGGCGGAAAAATAATGTTTTTATTTTTTATCTCGAAAACGAAAAGAGATAGACTAATGAAATTTTTTGGAAGCATTACTGTTATGAAAACACACTTTCTGGTAATTTTTTAACTTTTTTAAAATAAGTGAAAGGGGTTGAAATAAACTACCCCTATCATTCTTGTTAACGAAATTTAAAGAAAAATCTTATCAAACACATGCAAAAAAACTAATTTGGATAGTTTAGTTTGTTTAGAAACTTTTTTATCTCTTGTATTTTTTTGATAAAACTCACCGCTTTGAAATTAAAAAATAAAATGTAAAGCATTACATGTCAGGACAAAAAACATTTTCTGATAAAGAATCTAGTGGGCTGCTGTAATTTTTAGTTAATTTAAAATAAAGTCGGCCGCTGTAAGAACTTTTAGGATGCTTCCTAATATTATTTTTATTTGACATTACTCTACTGCAATACGTTAGCATACAAGATGATTATTATTATCGTTATTATCACTAGATTCTTAATCTAAAAATGTTTTTGTCCTTACATGTAATGCTTTACATTTTATTTTTAATTTCCAATCGGTGAGTTTATCAAAAAACACAAGAGGTAAAAAAGTTTCTAAACTAACTCATCCAAATTAAAGCATTTGCATGTATTTGATAAGATTTTTCTTTAAATTTCGTTAACAAGAATGATAAGGGTATTTATTTCAAATCCCCTTCCACTCATTTTAAAAAAGTAAAAAATTACCTGAAAGTGTGTTTTTCATAACAGTAATAACTTCCATAATATTTCATTAGTCTATCTCTTTTCGTTTTCAAGATAAAAAATAAAAAACATTATTTTTGCGCCATTTTGTACCGCGATATCTCCCTAATGGTTGACTTTGACCCAACGTTTATAAATAACTACTCTTTATTTAGGCAAGGAAACCCCTTAAAGTTTTTCGCATTTGAGAACACCCTGTATAAGAACCAAAAGTTACATGTAGCGATGTGTCATTTTCACCCTGGGGGTGAGTGCCTTACCTGCACCGGGGTAAAAATAAATCACTGCCATTGGCATTTTATTACAAAAATCAATAAAGAGAAGAATTCAAAGCAGAAAGGTTCTATTTATTTTTCAAAAAATTATTATTTTCCGAGTTATTTAGGATTAAAAATGTTGAGTTGTCATCTAAAAACAGCATATTAAAAACACAAATTGTCCCACCATCTTTAAAAAAACATTGTCTAAAACAGAATACTGGCAAAATTCTGAAGGAATTTAATTTTACAATAATTCGACAAATCAAAACGAAATCAAAAACGAAATCAAACCGTGAAATCACAACAAAAGCGTCTCTGAGTGACAGTTAAAATCAAATTTTATTGTCTGCAATTTTTTTATAAATAACTCGAAAATCTTGCGTTTTATCGCAAAACTCATATAAAGCAAAAATAAAACTTTTCGAATAACGAATCGATTCATTCTTTGTTGATTACCGTAGGTGTAGTAATATAGTCTATAAAATGAATAACTTTGAATTTTGACCGTTATTTTCACCAACATGGCAAATACAAAATCCCTCTGTCAAAAAAGTTACTGATATTCTTTAAATTGAGTGCCTGAACGAATCAGATATGTAACTCTTTTTACTTTCGTGAAATAGAAAAGGAAAATAATAAAACAAGTGACAGTTCTTCCTCTTCTTGCAAAAATCAACACAAAATGTCATAACTGACAAAAGTAAAATGTCATCAGCTTTTGACATTTCTAAATATTAGACCAATGCCATCTCAACAGCCACGAAGCGAGATTTATGACGTCACGCTAGTTAGATACTACGGATTAATAAATATGTTGTAGAATACATGGAAAACATAATTATTCCTCGTATTTTTGGTTTGTATTTTAAAAATAATATAGTTTACATAAAATATACATAATATACCGTTAATAAATACAATATAATATATACCTATTTATAGTAATAAATACTTTGGCAAATAAACTATGAACCATACAAATGCAGCAAATGCTTTACAATATACAAATAATGAATAGGTGGTACATAAGATAATGGGTAAAATGTAAAATATATTTTAAATTTTGGGGTTTGAAAATCGATCTAATTTAACAAAAAACATTCAATATCTATTAATAGTGATGTATTATTATTTGCATTCACAAAATTTATTTATATATTATAATGTTTATGCAATTAATAAACTAATATCGTACTTGTTAAAAGTTGATTACATATTTTTTTTAAATTATTATTCTTAACACACAAACCATCTACATTGACTATGGAGTAACGATTTCAGTCATATTGTAAAACATTTGCTGCATTTGTATGGTTCATAGTTTATCTGCCAAAGTATTTATTAAATATAAGCTCAGGCCGTTAATATAAATATATATATATATATATATATATATATATATATATATATATATATATATATATATATATATATATATATATATATATATATATATATATATATATATATATATATATATATATATATATATATATATATTGTATTTATTAACTGTATATTATGTATATTTCGTGTAAACTATATAATTTTTAAAATACAAACCAACAAATCGAGGAATAACTATGTTTTCCATGTATTCTACAACATAGTTATTAATCTGTAGTATCTAACTAGTGTGACGTCATAAATCTCGTTCCGAGGCTGTTCTATTAGAGACGGCATTGCGTCAGCATGGCCGCAAGTTGCTAACCTAATAAAATTAACACTAGAAAAGCCCGCGGGAACTGTCAAATTCAAAGTTATTCGTTTTACAGGGTAACAGACTATAGTTATAGTTATCACTCTAAACCTGATTTTTTATTTTTCAAAAACTAAAATGCAACTTTTACTTATAAATAATGGCGAAAGAACACATTTTTGAAGAAGTGCTTGAAAAGACCTTTTAAATGTCTTTTTTTTAAGGTTTTTCATGTTCGTAACTCAAAAACTCGCGGAGTTATGATAAAAATAAAAAGGTCAGCTCATTTTTTCGGAAAAAAATTAACAACAAAATCTATGACTAAAATTATAAAAATAAAAACTATCAATTTGTAGGAAATTACACGAGCTACAAATTAACCCCTATAGTTGAACAGTCTTGAACTTCCCATTTTCACGAGATTTTTGGGTTTTAAGGGCTCAAAGAAGGTGGTCCTTACAGGCAAGCCAAACGTAAAAAACGTAATATCTACGAAATAAAGAGACATACAGAAAAATTGAAAAAGAGCAAAAATATTGCAAAGAAGACCTTCAATTTTACTATGTTGCATTTTTTACGTACCTTCCTTAGTTTTTGAGATATGTCAAAAAAATTTACATTTTATAAAAAATAAACATTTTTCATTATTTTCGACTTTTTTCCAAATTTAGGCATTCTAAACCCCTCGAACTTGCAGAGTCCATGGTTAGTACCTAAATATAGCCAACTGTACAGGGTGGGACAAATTCGACGCTTTTAAATGGAAACACCCTTTTCTATTGGAGATAGACGAAAACTAATATCGGTGTCTGGAGCTCAATTTTTATCAAAAACATGATGGTAAAAACCGCACATCAATATCTGTTACCGTTTCGGAGTTACGGGGTGTTTTTCAAAAATGTGCATTTTTAACAAATCGCTGTAACTTTTTTGCTATGGAAAATTTTGTATTTCTATGAAAACATTTCCAAAGCACCTTTTGACAATAGAATTTAATGGTTTAAGTATAATTTTTTTAAAATTAATAATTAAAGTTATCAACAGAAAAATTGATTTTTATTAGGGGACACCCTCTATATTTTAATTAACGGAAAATAATTTAAATTATCTTTCAAAATATAGCACACTTGGTATTTTGTTATAATCCCCTTCAAATTTTTAAAAGTTCGCCATTTTCAACTAGTAGGCTTTGGACCCCTTATTGATGATATGCCCTTAATGGAACTCGAAAACATATTTCCAGCAACACGACGCAATGCCTCTGAACGCTGAAGTTATCAGCAAATTTTGCAGCCAATTTCAAATATAATTGAATAGCTGACTAAAGATCCCAACTGTTGGCCGTCGGGTGGCCTGACTTAGTGCTCATGGATCTAACCCTATGGATATATTTGAGGAAGAATAAAGGTTTTTATTCTTCCGTATAATCTAGACAAAATTAGAAATACTTAGCAGTTATGAGAGGGTATCTTCACCCCCACTGAGTTAATGAATTCCACGAAAAATGTTCAAAAACTGCCCGTCTGTCCATAGCTTTGAACGAAGACGGTCGATATGTCGAACACCTGTAGCAAAATCTCATGTCTTGGTTTTGCTATTTATTTTTTATTGTTATTAGATATATGTAGTTTAAATGTGTTGATGTTGGTTAAATATATTTTAAATTGTTATAAAATTCGGCATCTCGTAGCAAATATTATTTTCGTTTTAATTGATGCTCACAGCTAGAATTTTTACCTAGCCGGTGCCGTTCAAAGCCTACTTATGTATTTAAAGCGGGCGAATTTTATATACTCTATATCTCGAAGAGGAATCGAGCAAAATATCAAGTGTGTTATATTTTTTGGAAAGGTAATTTTAAATTCTTTAATAAATTAAAAATGCAGGGTGTCCCATATAAAAAATCAGAATTTTTCTGTTGATAATCTAAGTATTAATTTTAAAAAAAATTATATAAACAAATAAATTAAAAAAAAAAAAAAAATTTTGGAAATGTTTTCATAAAATACAAAATTTTCTAACAAA